CGCTCAACGGATCTTCAATGAGATGCGTCAACAAACGAGTTTCATCATAGGACCTGCGGCTCGACACAAAGCTCCCAGCAGATAAAAGGATGACTTGCCGCCAATGCTTTCGTTGGCACTTTACCAGAAACCCAAGCCAAAAATTCTAAACCGAAAGAACGCATATGCGCAAAATGAGCAATCATCTCACGATGCAAGATGCCCACAACCTGCAGCCCTTAGCATGGGCGGGGACAACTTTAAGATGGCTTTCATTTGTCTCTGTGTGGGATATGTCTTACTTCGGCGCGACGATCCGCAAGGGGATGAAAGGGGCGTCAAACTTTTCAAAACGAATTTGCTCAACGACGCGAAGGATTCTCTCTGAAAGAGACCACAGAAGCCAGTCAAGCCGAAGAAAAGCCGATTCCCTCGTCGCTTTCTGCTTCATTTACTTCTGCTGTTCTGTCAAGTTTCTACCAGATGTATTGCAACTACTTCTAACGATATAAAATAAAAGGTGCATGTCTTGGTATCACAGTGGGCATGTGTATTTATGCATATGCTGGTACACAACCTGTTCTGAACAGTACTTAGTCACAAATTTTAGGACGGAAAGAAGAGCAACAGAATGTAAACATTGAATTGCCTGACCTCCCGCTGTTCCTTCAACATTTTGAAGGCGAAGCTCGGCCGTTGAGCGCTCGTCAAGTTGTGCATCGAATCCAAAAAGCTGCAAGGTCAAGAACGACAAAGCAAAAAGGAAGCCGCCAAGTGGACCCTCAATGTGCATTCAGAAGCAAGTTTCGGCTCCCCAGTGGTAAGAACAGTTTTGTACAAATAAATCTCGTCAAGCGTGGGTCCCTCTGTCCACTGGAGATTCTCGGTGAGGAGACAGTAAATTTGAGTAGAAAGCAGGCTCTACAGCACCGGGAGAACGTAATGGTAGCTTACGTCTATTATATACTCTCTCCGGACGTGCTGGCCTATGTACAAAAGCATGTACGATCCAGCTTCGCACAGGTAGACCCCGTCACTTAGAATGTTTGTGCCACTGGCCGGCAGAGATTGCGGCATCCATACGAAATTTTCGACGCCAGAGTACTCCCCCACCTGCGCAAAGAAGCCTCAGTAAAGTGCAAACGATGGCCATTTGCGAAACTTTATATCCCTTTCAGACACCCACGCAAACCTGTAACCCGCGTGCATGGAATGCCCTAGGTACCTAACTGCTCCACCAGACCCCTTCCATATCTGCTGTGCACCCCTCTAACTGCCTAGTGATCTTCTAGTTACCCGATCGAGGGCCTTGCGTTCTTTGCTGCCGGACGGCTGCAGGTAGGACTTGTGCAAGAGGCAGAGACGGGGATAGAGATGAGTTGAGAATTCAGATATTGACATCCGCAGGAACTGCAGTAGCTGGAACAAGCGGACCTGGGGGTCCACTGTGGACTGGCGGAAAGCCTGTGAGCAGGAACAATTGCAGCCTATGGATGCACTTACACGTGTCCATGCACTTCACGTAAGAGGGATCCAGGCTAGATGTACCTTTACGAAAGTATATATGCTGCATATAACCGTGCAGACGGCAATGCACGGGTAGTAACTACCCTTGTCCGCATACACAAACACTGACAGCTGACAACTGTCTCCACTGTGCCGGCTGTGTGAGTCCAGGGAGACAGCAAGTAGGGCTGTTCAATGCTGAGTGATGAGGAGTCTTACAGCGTGCTTAAATAGCGCCTGCAGGTAAACTGGGAGAAGCTTGAGAGAGTCTGGCAGGATAAGCTGACCCTCAGAGGATGCGCTTGCACACTGCGTTGCAACAGGAAACCGGACAAAATGACAAACGAATTGATCTACGACAACTTTATCCACAGACCAAGTCATCGTTGCACCCAGTTACCGCTCTACGGGAGTTCCCAATACCCTCAGAAACTGAAGACCAACTGAATACATAATATTTAAAAATGAGTGGGAACAGGTGTCACAAGCAGGCAGGCACCGAGGCAATCCGCCGAATACAAGAAGCCGAGATCCTACAACTAGTGGCGGCGTACNCAAGCAGGCAGGCACCGAGGCAATCCGCCGAATACAAGAAGCCGAGATCCTACAACTAGTGGCGGCGTACATTAATGCGATAGGCGCTAAGTATCTCGACGAGATTCTTGATGGCTTTTTCACGCCACTGAGGTTCCTGATGAAGCTCCATAATTGCCGAAGTCCTGGCCAATAGAAATGCCGTAGCGTCCACCTGTCATGCGCAACAGTCAATGCAGTGCAGATAACACAGAAGGCACTAGAGCGTTCCACCACCAAGTTATACAAGTAAGATAGGCCGCCAGAAATTAAAACGGGTCGCCAGAAATTATTGCGCTGCTTTCAAGATACAGCGCACGTGTTGACCGCCTAGGTCCTCCCACCTCTGCATAGCGGAACAGCGAGGCGAGAGAAAACGTTATGGGCAACGACAACGAGTGCACCCTGAGTAGACGCCGATTCGGTACTCTCTTGGAGGGGTGCATTGGGGTGTAGGCGCAGACACTTTGGGCATAGACGTTCTTCTGCGTCTCCAGCCTGGTCCACCCACAAGCACACGGAGCATGCATTGAAATTTAAGTTGCAACTATCTACCGGACACCCTAGTGCCCACTCTTCATTCCCTTCCACCTACACAGCCCCGCAGTGTCCAACAACTCAGCAGCACATTCTGAGGAAGCTGAGACGGACTGCTCAGTGTGCTTCAGCTGAAACAGCAGTGTTGACTGTGCGTTGAGGCGTGGCAGCCGGAAAGTGCTTTGGTCCACCAGCGACCTGGCCCCTGAAAAGGAGACCAAGATTCTGTCAACCGCCAAGCCCTGTAATCAGCAGCAGAANCCAGCGACCTGGCCCCTGAAAAGGAGACCAAGATTCTGTCAACCGCCAAGCCCTGTAATCAGCAGCAGAAGGAACGAGCAAATATCAAGCTTTCAACGTAGGGGGTTGCGGCCAGGCTGACTAAAAAGTACAGTTCCCTCTTTAGGCTAAGCCTCCTTTACGCACACGGGAGCATTTACGCCTTTATCAGTTTTGCTCCAGACACAGAATATGCGGCAATGCATGTATGTACTACTACACCATGTACAAGCAGACGCAGCAGCAAAAGCAGCTTCCGCAGTCGCTATACGATGCAGCACTGTGTGGAGATGCGAGATCGGTGACTCCTGCGGTGACTCCCGAGGTTCTTTACTGCATCTATTCTGAGCCCATAAGATAGGAGGCGATGTGTGGATGTAGCGAACGCCGCAACACGAGAGACAGACGCACCTTTGAGAGACGCAGTTTAAACTCAACATCGAAGTAGAAGCAAGATGTGAAAATTCGCCTCATCTCAGCAGCCACCCATTCCTTGTCTCTGCAGAGGGAACAGAGGGGGAAAGCAGCACATATAGCCTGAGCACTTCTCTATCTTAGGCCACGGATGTGCAGCATATCTCGAGGTCTGAGTAATGCCCGGGAACTGGCTTCCAGTGCATGCTTCTCCCAGCTGTTACCTTGAGCCACAGAATTCTGGCACAAAGCGGATGTCTCCTCCCGTTTGCTGTGCAGGAAAACCTAGGGACTGGAGCTCCAGCGTTACGTTGGGTGGGGGGCACGCGTAGACATCTACGCATGTACACGCTGCAAAGCATTGTGTTACAATGGAGTTGTAGAAGTCTTGCTGAAAACAAACCGAAAAAGTGCATATAAACCACGTTCCGTCGTTGACTAAACCTCGTCCAGCCCCAACACTGTATTCACTGTCTTGACCGGTGCTTTTCCCCCTGCGCTTTGCGTTAAGTATCTCCGCTGGCACCAAGGGCCCGCATCGCCTCCCTCACACTTTCTGTACTGGCTTACTTGGTGGATCTCGGTGGATTTTGCTGGCCCTTCTGATGCCTTAGCGGACTGCTTCAGCGCTCCGACACCTACGAAAAGTAAGTACACACTAATGGGGCAGGTTGAAAGCCGGAACGCCCGACTAGTACCAGTATCCTCAACACTAAAGCTTTAACCCCGGCTCATACTTCTTCGAAAAAGGCCTCACCGACGTCTGGCAAGACACAGTAAAACATTTCCACCATTCCTCCCGCGGATCTCTCGNGAAAAAGGCCTCACCGACGTCTGGCAAGACACAGTAAAACATTTCCACCATTCCTCCCGCGGATCTCTCGGCTATCAAGTCGACCGCTACCTGCGCAAGTAAAGTCATAGGCAGGTGCTGCATATGCGTATGACTATGCTGAGGATGGGATGGCACTTCCAACGAAAATACTGAAACAAAGGCACACGAAGCTGCTCAGCCCGAGCAAGTCAACTACACTGCCACGGGAAGCACGGGCACCTACACATCAGCACGCGTGTCTACTAGACAGTCCGTAGCGAAAACAGCACTAACGACAGGAGCTATATCTATTGTAGCAAAATAGAAGGAAAGGCACCAGCTACTGAGGAATAGCAACAGTATCTGCCGCTGCCGCTGCTGCGCCCTGTCTGGGGGATCACCTTTAGAGCAGCATTCGCTGCTGATGCATGAGATATGTTGACGCAGTTGTTGAGAGCCGCTGGGAGAAGTGACACTGCCCACAGCAGCTGCACAGAGAAGAACACAGCAAACGGCCACTTCACCCATTTCGTGTTAATCTGTCTATATATACGAACAAGCAGATAACATTGGAAGCGGCCTGCATCTTCAGCTGGTTCGGCCAGACACTTCAGCTCGCAGGTGCACTGACAAAAAGGCAGAGGGGAGTAACAATCATTCCCCGTCTTAGTTTTGTCTCATCTCCCAACGTGATGAGTGGTTAACTATGGGGTGTCTGTCCCGTACTTCGTCTCTGTCCTGGGGCCGAAAAAAGCAATGCTCTACTGGAGCAGGCAAGAACGGATCCGAAACGTCGTCCACGACCAAAAGCTGCAAACCCTGCTGCCGCTGCTGCTGTTGTCCGGTCTGGTTAGTGTTAGGAATGAAATATAGCCTGTCAGAGACGAGAATCAGGCAAATATCCACCTGTAGGTGCACGTCGCGGAGCGCTTGTTCCAGTCCCGTAGCAGCAGCATGTGAAAGGCCCGACGTGAGACTCGCAGCTGTTGCATCAATTACAAAAACGATACACGGCCGCAGGCTGCTGCTGTTGCTGCTGGTGTAGTTCCGCGGAAGGAAATCGCCACACTGACTGTCAGCATCCGCCCTAGAAGAAACACCAGCCTGCGCTCTCCCCCAGCTGCTCAGCTGCATCTGCGGCTGCTCCAGGCTGGTTCCGTCGAGTTGCTGCTGGATGCCCTGCTGCTCTGCTTGGTGCAGCTGCTGCTGCCTAAGTTGATGCTGTCGGGTGACTTCGCCCTGCATACGCAGTAGCTTGAGCAGATGCTCCCTCCTCTTGTGTTGCAGCTGAGTGAGTTTGCAGGCGTCAGAAAAGGCCCTAGGGGCAACGAAATCAACAGACCCTTTCCACAGTTCCTGCCTGCGCTGTCTAGAGTATCTCTCCCCCTCAGCTGAGGCGGTTCCCATGCCGCTGCTGCTGGCGCGCAAGCCGCTCCGGTACCGGTCCAGCAACGTTAGATAGAAGGGGGGCAGCTCGAACGAGGAGCCACAGAGGTTACACAAGCAGTGCGTGCTGTTGCTAGCCCACGACATGAACGGACTTAGGTAAGCCATGCAGTTGCTACACCGAACAATTCCCTCACTGCTCGCTCCTGCTCTGGAGCTGCTCTTGNTAGGTAAGCCATGCAGTTGCTACACCGAACAATTCCCTCACTGCTCGCTCCTGCTCTGGAGCTGCTCTTGCTCCGGCTGCTAACGGCAGACGCAGCATTCCCACTGCTGCTCCCTGCATCCGTATCCTCCTCTGCATCTGACTCTTGTACCTCGACATAGCCACCAAAGAACTCCGTTTGCGCCTTGACGTCTGCAGCGTCCTGATGAGCTGCTGCTGTTGCCGCTGGATCGCCATATGAATAGGGCTGTTCCGCCTCTCTCTTGCTGATCCGCAAGTCCACTAGAGGCACTGCCTCTTCAGTGGGGGGCTGTGCAGCAAAGGGGGTAACAATGATGGCAAACGGCAGACGAGAGAGCTCAAGACTGTGGCTGAATGCCGGAACCTGCAGCATCAACAGCAGCAGTGCATGCAGTAGCCAAAGTACTCTAAATTCAAAAGACACATCTGCTGCTTCTGGTAATGCTCCCCATATTTAGAAGCGTCAATCGACCAACCACCAGCAAGACCAGAAAACCAACACTGCTCATGAAAAAGAAAGGAGCTGCAGCAGCAGCAGCAGCGGCAGCCTCCTGCTCCATACCTGGTTAATGGTAGAGCGCATGAACCTGCAGCTGCAACAGCCCTTGTCAATTGCCGTATAAAACCCGGCAGGAGAAGGAGGGGAAGCCCCTGCCTTATCTGTCTCTATTCTCTTGCCGTACACATTCGTTATTTGGTCTGAAAACGCAAACACGCAACGCACACCATAGGCTAACAAAAAAGACTGGAGCGACGATAGCGCATACACATGCACATACAGATAAATGTTGCACAGCAAAGAGAAAAAGAAACGATACAANGCGACGATAGCGCATACACATGCACATACAGATAAATGTTGCACAGCAAAGAGAAAAAGAAACGATACAAGCACCAAGTGAGCCATACAGTCATGTGTGCAGAGGCTAGAATCATCACAGCAACAACAGCGACAGCAGCAACGCGTGATATCCTTCGCTTTGCATACCATTCCATTCAGGACGAGGAATGTGGGCTGGGTCGATACGGTTGTTGATTGGGCGCGCGAGTGGTTGCAACGGCGGCATGTCTTCGGGAGCACTGTCTTGCTGCTCTTGTTGCTCCTGCTGCTGCCGCTTCTGCCCATGTTCAGCTCTATCCAGAGAGCTTTTAACGCCATTGGGCTCCGCGCTAGCAGGAAACGAACCTGTGCCAATCCCCATAAGAGATGGCGCCCGCCTTTCCTGCTGGAGTGGCTGGGCGACATTTCTGTGGGTTGCATTGTACTGCTGCTGGCGCCACTGTTCCAGCTGCTGCTGCTGCTTTGACGGGTCATCAGCCTGTGCAACAGGCGGCGGTCCCATATGCTGCGGTTGCTGAGATGCAGTTGGTTCCATCACTCGCTGCTGCTGCTGCTGCTGCAGCGTTTGCTGCTGCAATTGCTGCTGTGGGAGCAACTGCTGCTGCTGTGCAGGCTGTTGCTGTGTCGGCTGTTGCAACGGTGGATGTTGCTGTTGATACTGCTGTTGCGGCCGGTATTGCTGTTCGTGGGGTTGGAAGGGTCTCTGCCCCTGCGTATCCTGCGCAGGACGCTGAGGAGTTGGCTGCTGCTGCATGGTTGCTGACTGGGTCTCTCCAGCTGAATAAAAAAGGCGCTGCTGTTGTTGCTGTTGTTGCGGCGGCACGTGCTGGCGTTGATCCTGCATCTGCTGTTGTGGCTGCTGCTGCTGCTGCTGCTGCTGCTGCTGCGGAGCAAAGGCAAGATTGCCTGTTGGTGCATCTCCCACGGTGGGGCTAGACCTCACGGGCTGTGCAGTTGGCGGGGGTTGCCCCCATGCAGCAGCTTGATTACCAAAACCAGGAGCAGCAGCAGCTTCAGGATAACCATTTGGAGCACGAAGTTCTTCTGCAGAGGGAACAGGTGCCCCTAAAGATCCAGTCTGTCTTACTGGGTTTGACTGTTGGTGCGGCGGATACTGCCCTGGGACTCTACTTTGCTGCTGCAGCAGCTGCTGCTGTGGGGGAGGCGCTTCAGCTAACGGTTGCTGTTGTGGCCGCTGCAGTTGTGTCTGCTGCAGCAGTGGCGGCTGTGGCTGCTGCGGCTGTGGCTGCTGGGGCTGTGGCTGCTGCGGCTGTTGCGGCAGTGGCTGCTGCAGCTGTGGTTGCTGCAGCTGTGGCTGCTGCAGTTGTGGCTGCTGCAGCGGTGGTTGCTGCGCCTGTGGCTGCTGCAGCTGTGGCTGTTGCAGCTGGGGCTGCTGCAGCTGGGGCGGTTGCAGCTGTGGCTGTTGCATCTTTGGCTGCTGCAGCTGTTGCTGCTGCTGCAGATGGGATGGCTGCAGCTGTGGCTGCTGTTGCAGCTGAGACGGCTGCAGCTGCGGCTGCAGAGGTGGCTGCTGCTGTAGTCGCTGGGGCTGTAGCTGCTGAGCATGAGATATCTGCTGCTGCGTTACCTGCTGCTGAGGTTGTAATTGCTGTGGCTGCTGCTGAACCTGCTGCTGCTGAGTTGACTGGTGCAGCTGCGGATGCTGCTGCTGCCACGGAAGTGGCTGCTGCGCCTGCTGCACCTCCTGTTGCGGCCAGTGTATCTGTTGCTGAGGCTGCATCATCATTCCTGGTTGTCCATGAATTGAGTGCTGCCCCATTTGGTTACTAATCATGGGGTTAGATGCATGCTGCTGCTGCTGCATGTGTCGCTGCCACTGCTGTTGTTGTTGTGGATTCCCCTGCACCCCTCCCACAGCAGCTGCCAGTTGTTGCTTGCCGTAATCCTGTTGTTGCTGCAGTCCCTGCTGCTGCAGCAACTGCTGT